CTAGATTAAAAAAGCATTACTACAGAAGCAGAATTTGTATCCTAACATGAATCAACAGGGACATCCATTGAACTATAAGAGAAATAGAATTTTTATCTGGCTTCTCCTTCCCTCATCCCTCTTTTTTCAAAAAACAATTTCATAAAATCCAACACGATCAATTTAGCTCTCCTCTGAATTCAGACCGTCCTAGACTGTCCTGGCATATTTTTAAAGACAGTGCATAAAGTCTGTTCACAGGACATCCCTACCACATTCCTGTGAAGACTTGTACATCCACAAATCTACCTCATTATCAAAGCCCCCACAAAACTCTATTTTGCCATGAGGCATACAATAAAAATTGGAAATAGTTAAGATGCCAACATGCCGATACCCTGCCTATCGTGCTGGTTAACACAGAAAACGCATATGCAATATTTATATACCCTTTACATGAATCACAGAGTAAACCACAGCAACTGCTTAGAGATTATCCTATCTTGTCACAAAAATGCAGTTAAGTAACACCCATCTTATATTATCAAAACAGATAAGAATCTATTGCCTCTTCTACAAAAAAAGATTTTACTATGAGGTTCAAGAATAAGTCTTTTTTAAAGCTCAGATAATCTCAGCTGCAGACTTGTGATATGAACATAAATTCCAAGGGTCTTCTTGTGGGGACATTTGAGAGAGGTATTGTCTGTCTTTGAAGGAACATGTATGGAAGAAGCCAAATTAGCTATAAACTTTCTAAAACATTGTCACAATTGAATAGCTTTCTGCTATTTCATTTAGGCTTCAGGCTTCCTTTTTGACCCATTCCAAAGCAGCAGTTCTGAACCAAGGAAGAAGTTATTGGTGTTGTATTTGATATTTAGCACCCTATCAAATTCATGGTCATGAAAAACACATCATGGTCCATGAAACCTGGTCTGATAGTTTGTGCGCTTTTACCCTATACTATCCAGATTTCATAGGTGATACCACCATTTCTCAAACTGGGCCTCCTGACCCAAAAGGGGGTTGCAAGATTATTTGCAGGGGGCACTAGCATCCAGCTCTGAAGGCAGCACCCCACCAGCAGCAGTTCAGAAGAAACGTGGCAGCACCGTACTATGCCACTGTTACACTTCTGTGCTATTCTTGGTGGCAGCTCTGCCATCAGATTTAGACACCCAGGCAGAAGCCACTGCGCTCCAGCTGCCCAGCTCTTGGGGATATGCCCCCAGCAGCAGCCAGGAAGTACAGGTATCAACATCACAACCCTTTCCACAATAACCTTACACCCCCTCCCCAGCAAATTCCTTTTTGAGTTAGGGACCCCCTTACAGCACAACTACAACATCGTGAAATTTCAGGCTTAAGTTCCTGAAATTGTGAAATTATGACCAAGGACTTGACAAAGCCAGACCAGGGATTTGTTAGGGCCCTACTGACATTTGTTTTACCGCACAAGCCCCCTTCGGTCAGGGTTGCTGGCAGTGGCATAGACTGTACCAAGGAAGAACTACCAGTACAACGGCTCCACCGCATGCACCTCCAAAGCTGGGGAGCTTCGCACACGGGGGCAGAAGGGACACGGCCCTTGTGTACTCTGCTCTCGGACTGACTGAGAAACGGGCTTGGGGGACAGGACCGGGCAGCTAAGAGACGGGAGGCGCCGTTCACGCCTTCCTTTAAAGCTGGGGCGCAGGGAGGTGCCCAGGCTCTGCCCTGGCCGGCTTGGCCCCACAGAGGGGAGGATCGGGACCCTTCCCCAGGAGCCCACTCCAGGCTCAGCCCAGCCCACTGCACTTCAGCCTCCGCCAGTCCAGATCGGCCGCCTCCCGCCCGGCCGGCGCGGCTCCCTCCCAGTCAGCCCAGCCCCTCCCCAGCCTTACCACGGGAAGGCAGCCATCTTGACTCCTTGTCACATGACACACTCTTCCCGCCCCAGGGCCGGCTCTTTCACCGCCCTCGCCCCGCCCCGCCGCCATGATTGTGACGGGCAGCGGGAAAGGGCAGAGGGCGGGCGGCTCTGCCTGAGTGCGGCCGCTGCACCCGAGGCAGCCAAAGCCCCGCGCGCCGGTGGAGCGTTGCCCTAAAGTGGGAGCGCAGCCCCTCTGTGTGCACCTCCAGCGGGCTAACGGCTCACCCCTAGCGGGTCACACACATCCCCCCCCATACTGATTGGCTGGCCCCATGGGAAAGGCTCCTCGCCCCGCCCCACAGGGAAAGGGTCCTCTCTGCTCCCCACATAGGGGAGGGCGGGGCTCGCCCGGTGTTCACACTGGGTGGTGAACTCCGGGGGGGAGGCACCTCACCCGCCCACACACACTGGAGAGGGGGGACTTGCCCACTTCAAATTTGTGATGACAGAGGAGCCACGGCTCAAGCAACTGTGTCACTTTCATGTCTGAGAGGAAGCCCAGAAGTGCCAGGCCTGTGCCCCGGCCCAAATTAAGCACTGGCCTAACCTCTATGGAGAAGATGTCTTCATACACAGAGGGCACCCTATCCCAATCACCCTGACAGGATTTTTGGCAGCTCACAAATGTACATTGAGGCAGTTTTCCTTGCAAGCAGGGCTCAGGGATGTTAGAAACAGGGTAATTGTGTAACCACTGAAAATCTCAGCAGTTACACACTCAGCAGTGTGGGATGGCAGCCAACTCCCCGGGAGCCACGGTGTGCCAGGTGCCAGCTTTTAAGCGTACTCCCTGGCACACTGGCTGCCACCTGCTTGCTATGCTCCCCAGGATACAGAGCCAGCAGTGTGGGATGGCAGCCAGCTCTCCAGGAGCAGGGCAGGAGCCTGCGTATAACCGTTAATGGTATCCAATAAGCCTTATTGGTTAACTGCTTAAGGTTAAACTTTTACATCTGTAGACTCAATACAGAGTGAGCATCCGCCAGCCTCTTCACCACAATTAAGTTGCCACATACAACCACTGTGCACTAGTGGGATTTTACATTCCCTGCCCTGAGCTGGCACATGTACCTTGCCTTGCTTGGCAGAGACACACGAGGGGCTCATTCCCACACAGGCAATGATGTGATGTCTCCTGTGCACCCATACTGAGGTGTGAGGAGACTCTAGGGCTGTGTCTAGACTGGCCAGTTTTTCCTGAAAATTAGCTGCTTTTCTGGAAAAACTTGCCAGCTGTCTACACTGGTCGCTTGAATTTCCACAAAAGCACTGACTTCCTACTGTAAGAAATCAGTGCTTCTTGCGGAAATACTATGCTACTCCTGTTCAGGCAAAAGTCCGTTTTGCGCAAAGCTTTTGTGCAAAAGGGCCAGTGTAGACAGCTGAGATTTGTTTTCCGCAAAAGAGCCCCCATCGCGAAAATGGCGATCAGGGCTTTTTTGCGGAAAAGCGTCTGTGCCAATCTAGACACGTGCCAATCTAGACTCTGCTCCCAAAGCCTCACCTCTCTATGCCAAGCATACTGCAATAGAGAGTAAATCTCTGTCTCGCATGCAGAGAGTTACAGCTCTGCTGGCTGCCCAAGCCAATCTGTCAGGGAGGGACACATCCTCTCTTGCAGCTTCCCTTAGATTCCCTGTAAGAAGTCATTTCTTATGCAGGAAAGCAAAAAAAAATAAAAAATTCAGGGGACATGAATTCTGTGCCCATGCAGTGACACAGGATTCCCCCAAGTGTAATTATATTATTTGCTTCACTGATTTAAAAAGATTTATAATAAAGGAGAAAAAGCATCCAAAGAAACACCTGTATGGATTTTTTTGGTTTTGAGTTTGTCTCTTTCTAATTCATACCAAAGCTAATTGGGAAGTAACAAGGGAATTTTGGGTCACTTCTCAAAGGAAGTTCCTTGAAATTTGCTTTGGAAACTGTTGGACTATTTAGATTGGATTGCGCTAAAATAAAATATAGGTAATAGGTAAAGGAGGCCTCTTCTTCACTTAGGCTCCTTGCTTATCAATAACTTCTGTTAAAAGCTTTTTCAGAACAGTCCGATTTAAAATACCTCTGAAACAGATATTACAAAACATTTCTCCAAATAAAAAAAAGCAGCACACTAGTGTAGAGATCGTTTTGTTTCTTACATATAAATGATTTATGACCTGTTAAAATCTATTTACAATATTAGCTCCAGAGGTTTCATTAATAACTATTAGAGTCCTATGCACATCTCTCTCTCACATACAGGGATAGACTAGCATTGCTTGATGCTTGAGGGCTTTTTAAGGAATATGTCATTAGTGTCTGTCACTAATAGTATAGTTCATGGAAGCAAGTTTATATTGGACCCAGTAATTTATGTCATGTCAATCTGTGCTGTATTATCATGGTAAATTCAGGATGATGAAAACTCAACTGATACAAGTAACAGAACATCAGATAAAAAGACAACTATATCCCAAGCACACATGGTCTATAAAATGTGTAACTAACTTGCAGTGACTATCTAATGCTGTCTATGGGAATGTTATTCATATTTGATGAGCACAGAGTAATTGCCCATTAATTCCCATTTTAATTATAAAGGAGTGTTTTTGCATTCATCTGCAATTGAATTTACACAGCCATATTCTCAGTTGGTGTATATCAGTACAGCTTCACTTGTATCAGAGGAGCTAAACCAATTTACATCAGATGAGGTTCTCACCCGTAAGCTCCCACTAAATACCACACAGCTAGACAAGTCTTGTCTCTGGCTTCTAAACAACTATAAAATATATATTGAGAGAGAATGATGCAATACGAACATTTTGTAATTAATCATTCAGAACAAGCAGCAATTTAAGGGTTTGATCCTGCATTCTTTAAACACCCAGAATCCTTTCTGAAGTGCAAAAGGAATGCAGCACTGTGTGCAAGCAGTGTCTTATCAAGTTGATAAAACTATAATGTTGCTGCTGCTTAATTTTAAATTATTTGATTTCAAAATAATTTTGGAACCCATGGCCCTGTATTATTTTAAATCTGCTTCTCATGAATTGATTTCAAGCATTAATTTAATCCAGAAAAATGAAATATTTAAAGATAAAAAGTTTATTTTGCAGTATATTTAGTGAATGGAGCAGGATGGCAAAAATGAAAAGTACAAAAAATAAATATACTTTATGACAACAACATTACATTCCATAAAAATAAAAAGTGAATTGAAATTAAATATATATAAATAAATACAAAACATATCAAATTACAAAAACAAATCCTGGCACTCATCAAGAAAGCAGCCTTATAAAAGTTTTAAAAAATTGATATGATGCTTCAGTACGTTCTTAAAGTAAAAAAAGTTTAGTTAAGAAGCCTGAAAAGTTGAACATTAATTTTTTAAATTAGACATACTACTTTTACATAGTCTCAAAATGCCAACTAATAACACAGTACAGAAAACATCTACAATCAATTTTAGCACTAAGAACTACAAGCCACAGTCTATAAAGTTTTGCCACTGCAAAATTGTAATTCTTAATAAAAATATGCATTTCACATGTCGTTCTTAGTTACTCTTGAAATGTTTTCCTCAAAAAACTGATAACAGTAGTGTAATGCAAAAATTAAGAACCAAATTAAAGTTCTGAAATTACTAGGAATCAAGGAAGTTTATAGTATCACAAGAAATCTTTGTATTATGGATAGGAAACTAAAAAACAATAGCCTTTATAGATGCTAGTCTTTAGCAGGTGTAAATTGACACCATCTGAAGATCTGTTCCCAAGCCTTCAAATAAGGCTCCGGAACACAACTGCTGAGCAATCTGTTAATCCTCTAAATAGCATTGCCTCATTTCCAATTACATCTGACTCAGTTTAAAATACTGCACAATAAGTAAATTTGCTTATAATAATGCAACAAAATGTACAGAATAAAGTATGGATTTGTAGATGGAAACCATAACTTACAAGTTTAAGCCATCCTCAAACATTTTTATTAATTCTATGTGCATTTTTGTATTAAGGCATTTTTATTTCTACATAATTATTCTGAATTTCTATTTTACATTGCGTTATTTAATGATATTAAATAAAGTCTGCTGTTACACTAATGCCAACCTGGATTAAGGTACTGAAGTTAGGCGTTACAGCAAATTTATACTAGTGAAACAGCACAATTTGACATTTTCATTAAATACGTAGCGTTTATTTTTGTTTAAAAAGTCCCCCTCTACCACTCTTTAAGCTGTGGGGATACAGAAGTATGCTACTGACTGAACAATATCCATCTCAAAGGATGGGTATACATAGGCCCAAGATTTTTTCTATTTGAAAACCAAGGAAAGATTCAGGAAGCTCATTATCAAGATTAAAATTACTAAGCAGCCTCTCCTTAAAGAATCATGTTCTTAATGGCTGAAACAACTATAAAAAAAGGAGGCAAACAGGAGCATCTTTTGGAGAGTAAGTTTTGCAAAGTTTTAGGGACACAGAACTTGGAAGCATGGCTTCAGTGCTTGAGTCTGTTACTGATGACAGAAAAGAATTTTTTGGGGAGGCAAAACTGTTCCAAGTTACTTGTGTAGACAACAAAGTAGGTCGAGAAATGTCCAAACAGTAAGAAACAATGGTGTGGAACAGTCATCTATAGGATTGCCGAGGACAATTTGTCTGAAGTGGCAAACAAAATCTTTCCTTCTGGAAATTGCTACATCTTCATAGAATTGATACATCTTAATTCATCTTCATCAAAAATGTACTTTGGATTTAGAAAATGCAGTAAACAGTAGGGAGGGAAAATTGCTTGGAATGTTTCATCATAGAGGCCTAAATTCACCATCTATGTGAACAAGTACAACTTCACTAATGTAAATAAAATTGCACATTTATGCCAGCAATTAATTGTCTGCAGAGTCAACAAAACTGAGCCTAACAATATCAGTCATTAGTATTTAAATTGAGAGGTTAGCACATTCATATATAATGATACACTCTGCAATGCTGCTCTCAAACTGAGGAAAAAAGCATAGTACTGTTACAGTTTAATAAGTTATCTTTTCTATGTGTAATTGCTCTAATTTCAGGGCAAATGGCTAAAATATGTACACAAAGGAAATCTATTATTCAAACTAATGTGTATGAACTGCAATTTTAAATATACATTTCCTATAGTACAAAAAGTGCATGATATATACAATAAGAAGTCAGAAAGATGGTAAGATACACAAATAGACAATGTTGCACTATATTAGTCTTCTCTACAGCAGAGCATTTTGAACATGCTTGTATGTATGCAGTAATGTGAATACCTAACAAGTTTTTCACATGCAATTTGTTTTCATATGAGTGTAAAAATTGAACTTATTTGTAAGCCCTCTCCATTATTTTAACATCATTCCATAAAAACCTATGGTATGTCCTTAAAGTATGAAAAAAAATGTTAAATGTGTACATTTGTCAATTCAAAGCATACATATAGGAGATGCAAGATCTGAACCAATGCCGAAAAGACAATTTCATTTAAATAGCCATTATTGTTATCCAAGCGAGTGCTGTCGTCTTAAATTGTCGCAACATTTGGCTTCTTTCTTTGGGTTCTTCCTGCATATACTCCTAAAAGTAAAGCAGAAATAAAATTAACATTCTGTGATTAACTTTACTGTTCTTTTTACAGAAAACTTGTCCAATAAAAAACTGAAAAATGTAGGGAGAAATACGCAAACTTGTTCAAATATGCTTTTAATATATGTATTTTTAAATCAATATTTTCATAACTTAATATCTAAAATACTTAAAATGTATGAATAAAAACAGGTTATTTGAGTTGTAAAAAGGCTTATCAATAACTATACATTATAGCATTTTCTTTCTTAGTAAAAGCTCCCCTCCCTTTCCTGCTACTCCAAAACACCTATAACTGCAATATATACATTTTTAAAAGATTAGAACACTTAACATTTTCTATATTGTAGTATTACACTTGATTAAATAAAACTGGCTAAACGTTTTAAGCTACTATGGATCTTTTAATTACTATTAACTGCCTAACTCTTAATTATTATACAATTAATATTATCTACCAGCATTTCAATACATTACATTGCTAGAAGTCAAATATAAAACAAACTCCTTCCTCCTCACCACCGCCCAACCTCAAGGTAGAAGAATCTTAAGAACCACCCAAGAAAGAAAGACTGAGCAAGAACAAAGCAAGGCATAAATACACAGCCTAACTATATTAGCATTTTAAATTTTAATTGTAGTATTTCAGTAAATTATGTGCCTGATCTTCCCCACTGTAACAGGGTGTGACTCACCACCCGGGCGCCTTCTGCTGCTCACTCTGGGAATTAGCTTCTTGAAGCTGGAGCATCCTATTCTGGCTGGTGTCTCCCCATGTTCTCCCCCTCTTAGAACCCCTAACCCTCTATGCCCTCCTTGCCTCAGTGACCCACTGTCAGTCTTCATCTAGTTCCTTATCTCAGGGGCAAACTGCAGTCTGAAATGGACTCTCATCACGGACAAGGGGGTATGGACCTGCTGCCTTTGCCTATCCTCACTGCTTCTCTGCAGCCTTAGTATGCTCAGGTCTAACTTCAGGCCTGAAGCCTGGGAGCTTGCCTGGCTGGAGCTGTGCCAACTCTGCCTGCCTCTCCCAGCCTCTAACTACAGCCCTAGTATTCTCAGGCCTTGTCTCTGGAAGCCTTCGGCTTCCCCTGATAATCAAGTCCCTCCTGCTCCCCAGCCAGAACAAGAGTGTGTCTGTTTCCACCCTGCCAGGAGCCTTTATTTATATAGCCCTCAGCTGGGCCCAAATGAGCTCATACTAACCACAGCTGCTGGCTCCATAGCTCCAGCCCTCTCCCCAGGCCAGGTTTTAACCCTTAAAGGGCCAGTGTAGGGCTGATGCCCCATCACCCCCACCCCTAAATATCCATGTACAGAGGAAATTCTCTGCATGTAAAAGGAAATGCCCCTCAACCACACCCCTTCATTCCATTACATGGAGTGGGGCTCATTATTCTCCTGATAGCTCTATTTTAGTTTCCACAAATCAACTCTCCCCTCTACTTCACCCTTTTCACCAAGGCAGCTGCAGATAAGTGGTCACCCCAGTAAAGCAGCTCCAATAGAGATGAGGGATGGGATGGAAAAAGACGCTTCATGAAGATGGCCCTGCTCTTCCTGAAATGTCATCCAGTTTATTTTAAGGGGTGAGGCAGCAAACTCTGCTCTCACCAATATTTCCAAACAGGAGAAGGATGTCTGTGACGCTAGAAAACTGCAAAAAATAAACAATACTATAAAAAGTTTCTCCTTTTCTAGTATTTCTATACATTTCCTTAAGGCTTTGGGTTTTAGTCTATAGTCCCAATCTAGATTAGGGTTGCCAGATGGTCGAAACAAAAATACTGAACACCAGCCCCTCCCCACCCCAGCCCCAAAAAAAAACCACACCAGGAAAAAATTCTGTTGAAGGAAAAAAAGGGGGGGATGCCAAAGTTGCTGAGAAAAAAAAAATTAAAATAAAACAGCATGTCCCCTTTAAGAATGAGTGCAGGAATAGGAACAGGAGAGCAGTTGAGCACTAAGACCCAGGGGAGTCATTGCTTCCCCTTGGTCTTTTTGCCAGCAGCCATTTTATGCCCACAGCTTTGTGGAACCAGGTAAGCCTGGGATCAGGGGGGCTGTGGGTGTGGAGGTGGGGGGAGAAGAGGCCAGGCGCTGAGTGCTTGTAGGGTTGCCAGGTGCCCGGCATTTTCACCTCCTGGCCAGAGGGGAAAAGAAAAAAATCAGAAAATACCGGACATCTTAGGTGTCCAGTATTTTCTGAATTTTTTTTTTTTTAAACCAGACAGGAGGCGAAAATACCAGACTGTCCAGGTGAATACCGGACACCTGGCAACCCTAACCTAGGTAGTTGATAGAAAAATAGAAAGCTATTTATTGTTCCTCTTCTGTCAAGTGTACCAGTTATGTTTAGCAGAAGTGCAACTCTAGATTTCAAAACATACCCAGTACGTTTAGATATTCCAGTTTAAAAAACCCACACTTTTCTCTTAATTAAGACAGAAGCAGAGACATAAATCCCCTTAGAGGAGTTAAACTCACTACCAGAAGACATGGGCACTTAATTTGAAATTCACCTTTGTTCCAAAGCTCAATATTAAAAACAAAATGAAGACAATAAAACAGCAGTGTTCAATTAGTGGTCCTGAATGAAAAATTATTATAGGGGAGATGATGTTTAATCAATGGTTGCATTTAAGAGTGGAAGACCAAGCGTTGGGGATGGAATTTCAAATGACAAAGTCAGAAAAAAGGAAAGAGTAGATAGGCTAGTGCATAAGCATTTCACTTCTAGTGATATGCATTCAAGTTCCAATTGGGTCAGAAGTAAGATTAAGTCTAACTGTCACATCCTACACCCAACAAAGCCACCGCATCATTTGCAGTCTGTGCTAAACAGAGGTCAAAGACTGAAACAGCAAGTGTGTTGTAAGTCAGTACAGAGATGCACAAGCAGAGATATAGGAAGAAATATGCCTATGCCCTGCCTAGACCAGGGTGAGCAATAGGGGGCCATTCCAAAAATTTGGTAAGTGGTCAAGAGTTGCACTCTTGCATGATATTAATGGAGGAGATGTGAGGTCTGAGATGGAGGTTGGGATCTGGGAGGAAGTTTGAGTGAAAGAGGCCACTATGAGCTTTCTTGTGGACTGGGATGTTGGAGGGTGGGTAGGGATTTGGGTTGTGACCTTGGGCAGGAGATTGGGATACTGGGCTGGGAGGGGGTATGGCTGCAGCAGAGGAGGCAGAGAATTTGGGTTTTATGGATTAAGGGAGCAGAAGTGGGAGGGGGCAGAGGGTTAGAGGTAGGGAAGGGCTGGGGTGCCAGAGACAGGCTGCGGTCTAAAAACGCTTACCTGGGCAACTCCTGTCCAGCAGCCCAGCAAGATCCCTGACTTCCATGCCCTGGCAGTCAGCTCAGAGCAGCCAGCTGCAGAGCCCTTTGCTTCTGTGAGCAGCTGCAAGCCCGAGGAGTGAGAGGATGGGGTACTTCAAACAGGCAGATCTATTGGCCAGAAACCACTGTTCACAGAAAAATGGGACCTGCAGCTGGCTTTTCTGAGCAATGTGCGGGGGTGGGGCACTGGGCCGGCTAGCCTGATTCAGCCCCGGGGCTATATTTTGTCTGGTCCTGGCCTAGCTTAGGCCAGTGCTGAGCCTTCAATATACAGAGCACATTCATATTAAATAGAAGAATGAACAGGGATTTCTTTAGCTTGCAATATAAGCTAATTTAAAATCAAAGGTTTTAAGTTTATGTAGGCATGACTTCTCCCTGAAACAATTTGTTGCCTCACCCACATTAAATTGCTTACAGCTAATCTTTTCAAAAGAGTTGGTTATTTTCCAAATCCTAGTAGTGTTTTTTTTATAAGTGAATAATTATTCTGTTAGCAATCTGGTACATCTTTTCACTTTTCTATTTAGTTGGAGCATGTACATAAGGAAAGTTTCATTTACACGTATTAGTTTAAGATTTTTTTAATACTGCACAATTATTCAGATTACTACTTTTACATTTGTTAGGCCTTCTTCCAAATAGTTACTTCACAATGCACTGTTCTTAATTAAGTACAGATGGATATTGCTTGATTTATTATTTGTATTTGGAAGAACACAGAAATGCTGGCACTATAAATAACATGGAAACACACGTAATGAACTAACACATTAGCTGAAATAAGGAGATAGTTATGCTACATTACTAAAACCACACCTCAGTATAGACAATTAGGAACAAATGTCAGAAGTTCAAAATGGCTTTTATGAGACATTCAGTAATTTTACAGCAATTCACCAAAGGGCCATAAAGGCAGGAGAGACTAAATTTGGAGCCATTGTCAAAAGTGGGATGATTTTCATCGCTGAGTATCAAAATGTCATGATATCCAAGCTTAGCTAAGTCAAGGAGGCCAGAATACATTAATGCCTCAGAACAAAGCTTCTGTAATTTTAACTGAGTGACATTACACGTCAAAACAATTCCTGCCTACCTTTGCCTGTGTTTTTGTCAGCTCTCCTTAGCTAAATAGGTAGTACAGGCAGTCCCCGGGTTACGTACAAGATAGGGACTGTAGGTTTGTTCTTAAGTTGAATCTGTATGTAAGTCGGAACTGGCATCCAGATTCAGCCGCTGCTGAAACTGACCAGCGGCTGACTACAGGAAGCCCGAGGCAGTTTCAGCAGCAGCAGCAGCAGACTTGGGGAAGCGGCACGGAACAACTCCAATTGTCGGGCATCCAGAGGTCAATTTTAGTATTTACAGAGTTTTCTTTAGGTACATTTAGTTTACTCATTTTATCTACGTCTATCAACAATTCTCTTGAAATTTCGAGCTATTATGGAAAATGAAGTTTGCCCACATGACTGCGTGCATATTAGTGACAAGTTGAAGTAAGCAGCGTGAATGCTCTATGTAGGCTTGCCAATACCCTCCATTACTTCTAACCCTCATGGCAGGACCACATCAGACAGCAGGAAAAGGCACTTTGTATCTGTACTGGGTGGGGAGTATAAACTTGAATTTGCCCCCATACGCAATAAGCAAGGCTGGAAAGGAAAATCATACAAAGTACTATGGCTCACTTGTTGCATCCCAAAAAATTATGATTGCTCTTTCTAAATAGGTTCCCAGATCTTCCTCATTTTAATAGGAATCTTACAAATGCATCACTTTTAGAATGAATTGAGTTCCTAAATCATATTTCCGTAGGAGATGACAAAGACCAAAGATTTTGTTCCAACTCATTTGAACTGTTTACATTCAGGCTACGTCTGCACTGCTCTGTTTTGCGCAAGAAATATGCAAATGAAGCAAAGTGTGGAACCGTCAAGCCTCATTTGCATAATTAATGAGCGCCCGCTTTTTGCACAAGAGGCTCTTGCGCAAAAAGGAGCCATCTACACAGCTCCTTTTTGTGCAAAACCCCCCTCTTGCGCAAGAGTCGTTCTTCCTGGAAAAAAAGGGACCGCTAAGTAATTATGCAAATGAGGAACAGCGATATTCCACGCTTTGCCTCATTTGCATATTTCTTGTGCAAAACAGTGCAGTGTAGACGTAGCCTCACTTTTAAAGTGGAAAAAGTATCAGAAAATGTTTACTTCAACTAATGTTTTAAGGCATGGAATGGATAAAACCACACCTATGAATAACTGGGCAGTCTGTCCAAACCCCTTCTTAATTTTTTTTTTTTTTAAGTCAACTACTAGACTCCATGGCTATGTCTAGACTGCAAGCCTCTTTCGAAAGAGAGCGTCTAGACTGCACGTTGAACTTTCGAAAAAGCAGCTTGCTTTTTCGAAAGAAAGCATCCAGTGAGTCTGGATGCTCTCTTTCGAAGAAGCCCTATTTACATTCAAGAACGCCTTCTTTCGAAAGAGGAACTTTCGAAAGAAGGCGTTCTTCCTCGTAAATTGAGGTTTACCGCCATCGAAAGAAAAGCCGCGTTCTTTCGATTTAATTTCAAAAGAACGCGGCTGCAGTCTAGACGCAGGTGAGGTTTTTTCGAAAAAAAGGCTACTTTTTTCGAAAAAACCCCTGAGTCTGGACACAGCCCATATGTGGACCTTGGACTGCCCCTCATCTAAAATTGGGATGTACAGAATTGCGTGTATCAGAGGAAAAAGGGTCATAAATCTTCCTTATTAATATCTAATACTATCTGAAGCCTGTGCTTAAAGGGACACCTCCCCTGCACCCAGAAAGCCAGTTCTTAGGTTTCCCTGCTTGCTTGCCTACCTCAAAGAGGGACAGCAGAGCATTTTGTCTCTGCGTGCTCTGGTTGCCCTCACTCGGGACACCACAGCACTCTGCAACATGAAACCAGAGCTGCCCCTGAGCACTTTGGTGTTCTCATGGACACATTGCTGTGAGCCTGGCTGCACTTTCTGCCATCAGGGAGGTCCATCGGGGGGCTGTCAGTGTCCAGGAGGCCCTGCGGGAGAGCTTCCACCCTGAGGAGCACTAAGAGCCTCCCTGGTCTGCCCCACTGGGGGCTTGTGCCTCATTCCTCCCTCACGTCCTTCCACTTACCCCTCCCTAACCCCCCTTCCTGATGTCAACTATTTTCATGAACACAAACTCTCTTTATTTAACAAAACTGGAGATAAACCTCTGGGGAGACTGGGGAAAGGAGGCGGGAGAGGGGAGGAGAGAGGGTGGGAGAGGGGAGGAGGGAGCTGGAAGGGGGAATCAAGGGGAAGAAGGGGAACGGGAAACACAGAACTCAGGGGTGGGGGTCTCGCCGGGCCAACTGTCTCCCAGCATGGTGGGTGCGGGGGCCTCGATGTCCCCGGGTTGGGATGGAGACGGACGGGAGGGAGAGGCAGGAGGGGGAGAAGAGAAAGAAAGAGACGGAGAGAGAGGCAGAAGGCGAAGGAGAGCTGAGAGAGAGAGGGGGGGGCAGGCGGGTCAGGAGAGAAGACCAATGTGGAGGAGAGACCTGAAAATCCCATCTTATGACGTGCTAATTGGCTAGTATACAGCATAGAATCCTAACAAGATATTTTAAAGTAATGAAGTCATGTAATATTACTGCAGGTAAATCTTCTGATCCATGTCATGTCCTCTGAGTTTTTCTTTCTTGAGTACAAGTCTTACATAGCTTAAAAAATAGGAATGACATAAAAGAATAAGTGTCCTGGTTAGAATCTAGGTCAAGCTATTTTACCCCTGAAGAAATTATGACTGGTGCTTTTTTACATATGCTACTAAAATTGGGTCTTTTTGGCTATTGGGCATTTGGTCAGAGAAGGAATTTAAGCACTAATCTTAAACTGTACAAGCCTTTTACAGAATGTATTTGGAAAATGAACTATTAAGTTACCCATATTTTTATGTTTATAAACATATATAGGAAGATAGTTAATTTAGTGTATTATAGCAAAGCTACTGCAGCAAGAAAAGGAAAACAAGATCCCATTTCAATTTTCTTGATACTAGTAACTCATTCATATCTTCATTATAAAAAAAGATTCAAGAACCCATTTTCTACACACCTGAAATTGCCTTGTTAGGCATTCTGCTTTCTGAGGACTTCTTTCTATTTTGCTCAACCCCCTTCATTGAGGTCTTAGGGGTTCTAATTAAATATAAAAGAATTAATAAGTCACTTGCATCAAAAACCAAAGATTGTATCCAATAAAAAACACTACTAAACTGTTCTTGGTATGAAAAACATCTGTATGTGACACAGTAGAGTCCCCTCAAGAATGTGCACTGAAACTGCTATTAACATTAGCAGAAGTTATGCATATATATTAAAAGGAGACTCTCTCCATGCACACTTTTTTCCTTACTACTCTATTCGAGAGATGGATCGAATGCACATGTTGCATTATTTAGGACATATGTGTCCTGTATAATGATATTTCATTTTCATGGAGTGAAAGCAAAACAAGGGAATGAATGTAGCAAATGCAGATGTCAGAAAACAATGTAAATGAAAAATGGTACACAACAGGGTAAGAGACCACTGCATTTTTTCCCTTGTAGTATAAGATTTTTAAAAAGCTAGGAAATTTAAGACTTGTCTCATAATGAATTGTAAGTTAGCCATTTTGCATTTGAACAGTATTTGCACTGTTGCATATAGATCTTACTTGGAAATTATTTGACTCAATCATTGCATTTGCTTGTAACCTTTAAGTTGTGCATTAAAGTGCATATTATATTCTTACCCTTGCCTGCAAAGAAGCCTATGGAATGGAGTATTTTGTCCTTGATTTGGCTGAAGTACTCTGTTAAAAACAAAATCTGTATTAGTTTGATTTTTATATTCCTTCTATAGCCCAAGTATCCCAAAAAAGTAAGCACAGTGTTTGATTATATTATTGTTAATGAGGAGAGCATTCAGATATTCGTTGCAATCATTAAAACCTCAAGAAAAGCATTGAAAGAGCCTTAGAGACAGAAAGAAGGAATCTATTTTGCAAGTGTCTGTATGAAAGGACTGAACTACAGGCTGGACCTCCCTCGTCCCAAATGAGGGATTTGCTGGACCAGGGGAGGTTATTTCCGGCCCCCCTGCCCTGCCACTCCACCAGGCTTCCCAGCTTTCCCAGCAGTTCAGCTGGGTTGTGCAAGAGGCTTCCTGCTCCCTTCCCCGGATCTCCTCCCAGCCCAGCTGGGTCACATACCAGCAGTCCCAGCCCTCTCCCCCAAACCCAGCAACTCAGCTGAACCGAGCACCGGGCCCCTCTCTCCCGTCCCCCCATACATTGCGCCAGGCCCCACCACCCACTGCAGCATGCTGGGACACTCTGATCCTGGAACATCCATGGCCCTGTTGGACCACGGATGTTGCCAGACCAGAGAGTTCCAGTTTATAGAGGTGCAACCTATATTCAATTTAGAGACATAGCAGGTATGCAATTCTCGTGCCAATTGTTACTGCAACAGTTGGCTGTGCGTACACTTTATTACCCTGGTACAATGGATCAACACACAGCACTTCCTCCAACTTTTGCTATGGCTCCAGAGTTGTGGTACTTATCCCAAGGCTTGCAGTAAGAAACTTGGAACAGGTTTACAGAAGTAATAAACATTTTCACCTTTTACTATTATGGTGACCTGCCCCTACTAGGGATGTGAATGGTTAACCAGTAAGCTTATGTTATCCAGTGGTCCAGTTAACTGCGCCAACATGCCCCCATTTAAGAGATTAAACATAACGTTTAACTTGTTAACAGATTAAACAGAATTTTAAATTGCTAACCCCCCACAGTATTTATTTTGATTATTCGGTTCTGCCTATAGATTAACATCCATGCAATGAAGGCAGGATAACACAGAGACCATAATTTGCCCTGGAACCTGCTGCTCAACAGACTCTGGCCTGAGGTTCACAATAAATAGCATCACCAACTTCATATATTGGTACTTGGGAGACAGATCTCGCTTTTATCATTTTTATAATTTTTTTAATGAAATTTGTTGTATAATTATTTTTGTTTGGGAATGACAGGCCCAGGGGCTCTTAAATTGTCATCATGGGATTTTACTTTGAAGCTAAAATGAAACAGTGTGGCTGCAGTGCTTCAGGTTTCTGATCATACTAACACTGACAGGCACTGTGTGAAATTAAGAGAGCAGAGCTATTTATAAGATTTGGTCAGAAATGATGAAATCATGCCAGTAGAGGGCATACATGTGAAATGTTTTGTGTACTGATGTATGCACACTATTTTACAAACATTCAAGGCATATGAGCTCTAATAGCCGATATTGTCTAGCGTAGACTGGCCTCATCAGAAAGGCAGCACCACTAACAGTTTATCATTAGAGAGTGTAAGATAGTGGCCAGGTGTGAGGTGCAAGGCATGAATCTCTTTTTCCGATGTAGAGAAAAGAATGCTACTGAAGTTTGAGGATCTCTTTAAATGACACCCAAGTGGACAAATTTCTACAGATTGTTACATGAAGGATCATGTCTGGAGAAGAGGAGGGGTCATCATTATACTGTTTTAAAAACAGCATCAAGCCATTTGCTTAAACTACACTTAACACTTGAGAAACTTGGGAAGTGAGTGACACACACACAGACAGGAAGGATCATGTTTGAGGATATTAATCTTGGGAAACTGAAGCAGTACTATTTATTAACTATACACAAGTTAATAACTTTTCATGTACTAGTTTAGCCCTCTGCATTCTTCATTACCTAGGAGCAATACATAGATGAGTAGTTGATGGCAATCAAGCAAATCAGTCGACAGGCCCAGCATTATAAAATGGTTAAGAACAGTTTAATGTAAATTACAAGTGTGTAATTTTCACTGACCTTGTTTCAGGAGTATTTTGTTTTACAATAATTTTTTTATTTGGCATTCCCATTTCTGAAGCCCTAATGAAACAAAAAAGTGTAAGTATCTGAATTCATTTTTAAACCTTTCTCAAAAATAAAATAAAATTGTCAGAAAGGAATGGGGGGGGGGAGCCTCCTGAACAGTATTTATTGCCATTATTCTGGCAAAATGATTTATAGTACAGACTTCACTATCCAAATGCAACACAAACAGAAGCAATGGTCTCTATTATGCCATTCGGCACTTCTACTAATATGTATGTATCTCTTATCATTAGGGATGTTAACAGGTTACAGCCATGGTATGGCATTAGATCATTACTACTAACTTAGCAGGAATTAGGGATGTGACTGTTTTCTGGTTAAGGTTAACTGGTGGGGGCTGGAGCAGTTCCCTGCCTGCCACAGAGCTGTTCCAGCCCTGTCAGGCCCCTCCGCAGACAGGAAACCTCACATATAAAATCTTCCTAGTAAAGATAATCATCTTCCAAAATCCGTAAGAAGCTATTTTGCTAAAAGATTAAGATGTGCATGACAAAGTAATAAACTTCCTTTCTTTCCAATTTTCTCTACCAAGAAATATTAAATACACACTTCAAATACTTCTTCCTATCCAGAGACTTCTGTGTAGCTGTCGAAAGTGTCACCCTCTCTCGTGGAGTCTTTATTTTATCCTACAAAAACACAGAAGTAGATATTAATATTTGCTACTATTTTTTATTACAGCTGTCCCATTTGACCCACCTTAATTAACAGATTTGTCCCTTTTCATTACAAAATTCCCTTTTAAAGATTTAATTCAACTTTAAGTTTATATGGTGATATAATTTTGTATTTATAACAACAAAAACAAAGAAAGAAGTTCGTTTTATTTGCACTTTTTTTCTTGCTGTCAAAATAATTCCATATTTTTTCTCCTCCCCCCCCCCCCGCCGCGCCCCCCTCCAGGTACCTAGTTCCTACTCTACATTGGAGTCTATCTGAACACGTTTAATTTCTGGAGCCACAAAATTATCAGGAAGATAACTTTTGAAAACAAGCTTTTTATTATTTTACTGGGTCAGGAAAAAAATAGTATCTTACTCCAATCATTAGCAAAAGTCTTTAAAGTGCTACATAGTCCTGTATTTTGTTTGAACTACAGGGTGACCAAATTTCCCTACTCTACATTGGAGTCTATCTGAACACGTTTAATTTCTGGAGCCACAAAATTATCAGGAAGATAACTTTTGAAAACAAGCTTTTTATTATTTTACTGGGTCAGGAAAAAAATAGTATCTTACTCCAATCATTAGCAAAAGTCTTTAAAGTGCTACATAGTCCTGTATTTTGTTTGAACTACAGGGTGACCAAATTTCCCTATTCAAGTGAGTTCAACTACAGTCAAAACTATGCAATACAAATGTTCAAATGAAATGTTCAAGTTGACTGAGCCCCTGATAAAAATAAATACCGTGTCGTTAGATTTATTTACCTGCTTATCTTTAATACTTTAAGGTTTATGTGGGGAGAGGTGACACACACTCCCGTACTCCACTCTGACACAGGGAGGTGACCAACCAATCCTCCCTTGTAGTCACTCTCCATGCTTGGCTGGGCTCCTCAGATGGATTCACCTCTCCCAGTACCTGGTGCTAGGACTTCCCAAGGCAACATATGTGGGGGGAAGAAGTGCAAGGTAACATACCTCACCCCTAAATTTCTTCCAGGGTTCACACACTAATGTGGCCATCAGCCGGCTTTTGGCACCATGCAGGAGGGAAGAGAGCTGCTTCCAGCCACAGAGAAGGAGTGACCTAGCCTTTGTCTTTGCAGAGCTCATCTCTTCCTTTCTACTCAGTGTCAAAAGGCAGCTAACACCTCCTGGCTGCTGCTGGCCACTGACATTATCCAGCTGCCTCTCGTCTCCTGACTACAGTAGGGTTTAACCCCTTCCTGCCCACAAGGTTATATTATGCATCAGGGCTCAGGGAGCCTGATTGCAAGGGTTTCAGCAGCCACAGAGCCTGACCAAAGAAATATCAGGGGAGGTTCCTAGGGGATGTAGCAGTCCCATGCTCCCTATGGGAGAACCTCATGATTATGGATGGGAGGGCAAAGAGGGTGGGTACTAAGCCCCTGCCCAGGGCTGCTGTGGAGCCTGCAGGTCTGGGGTGGGAACAGACTGGAAATCACTTTTCCAATCCACTCCAGAGTTTAGCTGAGAGGCACAGAGGCTTCCCTGTGGCCAGTGCTACTTGGGGTTTTGGCATATGCAACGCTCAGCTCCTCCTGACCAACACCTTGGGCTGGTGGGTCTTTAGCTGTGCTGGTGCCCTGGGAAAGCCAGAGGCAATAGAGGAAGGAACGAGTCTGCTGGTGAGCTGAACACTCTGACGAGGGGCTAATTCTCTGCACAGTGCTGGGAGTGTGACACTTCCACCAGAGGGAATATAAAGCAGCAGCAGAGATGGAGGGAGGAGCAAAGCAAGGAGGGAACAGCAAGACAGGGAGCACATAAAGGGCAGATGAATGTGCAACAGAGGAGACACGTAATCAGCCACCGCCTAGCACCTGCCACTGTAGCTCACAGCCAGTGCTGGCCCAAAGTAAGATGGAGCCCTGCTGGCGGAGAGTTGGCACGCAGTGGGAGCTGTGCTGATGGACCAGCTGGTCCCATATGCTGCATCTTTGCCCCATCACTAGACTTGCACAACCATCTCCGTTGTCAGCCATTGGACTCACCTCACTCACTGCTGATAAGTTTTGCTGCTGGCCAGCTGCCTGCCTAACAGTACTGATGGGGGGGGACAGAGAGTTGGTGGAGGGGGGGAGAAGGGAGAGACAGAAAATATAAAGTTGGGACACCTGCATGAGGACTTAAATAAAGGACCGAACTAACTAGTAACAGTAGCATACATATTCCTAGTTTTAAGTGTTTCTTTACTAGATAAAAGCTGGGAACATACCATTTGCCTGAGCATTTTTTCTTTGCGAACTTCACGATCATGACGCAGGATATTCATTCTTTCAGATACTTCCATTATAAAGAATATGTCATGGATGTCATACAGCGCAGCTCGCAGCTGAAATAAAAAATTTCATGAAGTATTCACAGTTAATGTTTTCATACTTTCAGCAATATAGTGCAGTGTGTTTTGCAAAGACAGAGTGAAAGTATCTTGGTGAAACTTTAAAACCCTCCAATATTAGCAGAAAATGGTCATAGTTAAAATTTTCATTTCAAATATTGCCCTTCTGAATTTTTTGGATATTTCTGCTAAGAATAAAATACATTTGCTTTAGAGTGATGAAGTAATAGAGTAAAAGCCTGGCATATACATTACTTGAGCTATCACTCTTTCTTGTAGGGATGCATCTTGGGCTGAAACAGTTCCTTTCTTTAAGGGAGCTTCAGATTGAAAATTTGTTATGAACTCCATAGTATCCTAAAAAATAAAAAGAAAGATTAAGCATTGTACATTCTATTTCACATTCAGTGGAAGTAAATCTCAAACCATTAATACATCTGATCTCGGCCATCCTTTTCCTTGAAACTTGAGAGATTATGAGACGAGGAGTAACTAAACTGATATGTGTTTAACTATAATCCTCTAGACAATCTCTTCCTTAGTCTTACTCCTGTAGCTAAGCAGAAGTAACTTAGCATTCTTTATTGTAAGATCAGGTTTCATCATCTTTCCTATTGCTGCCTTCTCAAGCAACAAGCATGACAATGATAAATCATTCCTCTCTCTTTTCCATTCTCCCTTCCCATGTTCTTAGAATCCTCTCCTCATATGAAATTAATCAGAGACAGAAGGGATATCGCAAACATTAATAGAATATTGTAGATGATGCCTCTAACTTTAGCATCTAACTATTTGAATATTTAGGAAGCCACCAAATCACAGCATAAATTTGACACAGGAAACCTCAGTACTAAATCAGGATCCAGAAAAAATACCATTAGATTTAAAAAAAAAAAAAGACAACAGATTTCCAAATTTCATAAGGTATATTCTGCCATGCAAGGTTCATTTCAACTATAAACCTGACTCTAAACAATTAGTAACAATTTAAAAAATTATCCAGCTTCACAGTCTGTAAGTCACTTCAAAAAAGCACAGAAAGAGGTACTGTTGGGATACTATAAAGTGGTGTGTGCACAAAGCATGCAATAATGAACACAACTATGTTTTGAAGTAAAATCATACTCTGAATAGGACAAAACTATATTACTTATGGGCTGTGTCTACATTGGCACCCCTTTCCGGAAAAGGGATGCTAATGAGACACTTCAGAATTGCAAATTCCACGGGGGATTTAAATATCCCCCGCGACGTTTGCATTTACATGGCTGCCGCTTTTTTCCGGCTCGGGGTTATGCCGGAGAAAAGCGCCAGTCTAGACGCGATTTTCCAGAAAATAAACCCTTTTCCAGAAGATCCCTTATTCCTACTTTCAAGGAATAAGGGATCTTCCGGAAAAGGGTTTATTTTCCGGAAAATCGGGTCTAGACTGGCGCTTTTCTCCGGCATAACCCCGAGCCGGAAAAAAGCGGCAGCCATGTAAATGCAAACGCCGCGGGGGATATTTAAATCCCCCGTGGAATTTGCAATTCCAAAGTGTCTCATTAGCATCCCTTTTCCGGAAAGGGGTGCCAATGTAGACACAGCTATGCAGTAAACCTAATTAATTAACACTGAAAGTAAAATGAGTTTTGTGCTCAGGAGAAAAGTCTACATCTTTTTTGTCAGTTAAAAGGGGGTGGCAGAAACCAACAAGAAGATGGGGGGGGGGGAGAAATGTACAATACAAATACATCTTTACACTTATTTCCTTACTTTCACAGTTTGCCTAAGATATTTCAGTTTTTCTGTTTGCATGAGCCTACGAGTAAGAAATCCCTTTGCCAAGGCAGTGATCTTACTGAACTTCATTTGCATCTCTGGTCCAAAGACCTTTTAAGAGAAAAAAAAAGAAGAAGATATTTTTCTATGCTTTACTACAAAATCCAACAAAAGTTATGATTTTAATTTATCAAAATAAACTAAGTCAATTTATTTTCATACCTGAGACAACCTGGTTTTGGCCCTAATAGATCTGGCTGTTGATATTTTTGACATCCCACTAACTGATGGTCCCCAGAGGTAGAACGGAGCTTCATTTGTTGAACCAAAACTATTGGGCATGGTAGTGTTGTCAAAATCTATACAAAAACAGAACGTATCATTAAACAAATGAGAATTAAACAGGAACCCTATGTACTACTATTCAAATACTTACATGTCATTGACCACACACAAACATATTTTATGACAACATCTGCAGTGTTTTTGTTGCTTTTTTAAAATGTACAGACAGCTGAAACATTGGTTTTAAAATAAAAGTTAGGGCTGTCAATTACTTGAACTTTAACTCACGACCAAAAAAAAGTAATCTCACTGCTAAACAATTGACATTTATTACATATTTTTGGATGGTTTTCTACACTTTCAAATGCAATTGAATCAATTGCAACACAATGCAAAGTGCACAGTGCTCCCTTTATATTTTTAAATTAAAATATTTACACTGTAAAAAGGTTTTTTCAATTCACCTTATGCAAATACTGTAGCAATCTCTTTATAGTTAAAGTGCAACTTAGAAATGAAGACTTTTTGGTTACATAACTGAACTCAAAGGCAAAACAATGCAAAACCGTAGTAGGGATAGAGAACTTTTTTTGGATCAGGGCCAATAATGCATAGAAAAATCAGTAGGGGGTTACGCAAGTGAGAAGCAAAACACAAACACAAAACCCTGCAGTCCTCACTGACCTGGCACCTGGGGAGAAGAAGGGAAAAAAACCAAAAAACCTTCATAGATGTGGCCCTCAACTGAGAAGCATGAAAAAAAAAAAAGACGACACTCCCCTCAAGTTCCAACCCCATTGGGAGGGAGGTGTTGCTGAGGCTCAGGGCTTCCCCCAAGTCTGAATTAATTTTTCTGGAAGCTCAGAGCTAGTGGATGTTTTGGGAATACCAGGCTCCGGAGTGGGGACAAAAAGAAGGGGTTCAGTGTGTGGGAGGGGTTTGCCAGGGAACGGGCTGGGAGGATAAGGGTGTGGGCTCTAGGCGGGAGGTAAAGTGCAGGAGCAGGTTGGGGATGTGGGGTCTGGGCAGGAGGGAGGTATAGGAGCAGGCTGGGGGTGGAGATACAGGCTCTGGGCAGGAGGACGACACTAGAGCATGGTGTAGGGTCTAGCCAGGGAGGGCACAGAAGATGGGGTCACCTACACCTGGTGCAGCTCCGGGGAGGGAGAACACAGGATTTCCACACATCTCCACACACTGCTGGGAAGCACTCTCTGCAGGCATCACCCACTTGCCACTCCCACTGGCCGTGATTCCCTGCCAATGGGAGAGACAGGGTGGCGATGGCTGCTGAGAGCATTTCTCTGACATGCACAGAGCAGCTTCCTTCCCCTGCTGGGCAAGGTTCACAGACTTGATGCTATCTGCATTTTGCCTTGATCAGTACTACAAGGCTCAAGGCTCTCCTATCCCTGCTGCAGAAAGCCGGTGCTGATACTCCAGCCACAGTGCCCTCCACATGACTGGAGGGCCAGCTCACACCACTGGGGGGACCCAATCCCTGAATCTCAGGCTAGATCAAGGCAAGATATGGGTCTTCCGTGCCCTGTTTTAGAACCTACAAGTCCACTCAGTCCTACTTGTTGTTCAACCAATTGCTAAGAGAAACACATTTGCTTACATTTACAGGAGATAATGCTATTTGCTTCTTATTTACAATGTCATCTGAAAACGAGAACAAGCATTTGCATGGCTTTTGTAGCCTACCCTGCAAGATACTAACGTGTCAGATATGCTAAACATTCATAGGCCCCTTTATGCTTTGACCATCATTCCAGAGGACATGTGTCCATGCTGATTACACTTGTTTAAAAAAAAAAAAAAAGTGTGTGTTAATTAAATACTCCTTAGGGGAGAATTTTATGTTTCTTATTCTGTTTTACCCACATTCTGCCATATATTTCATGTTATAGTAGTCTTGGATGATGACCCAGCATGTGTTGTTCATTTTAAGAACACTTACACTACAAATCTGACAAAATGCAAAGAAGGTACTAATGTGAGATTTCTCAAGCTAGCTACAGCATTTGACCCAGTACTTTAGGTTCTGAAAGTACCTTCTAAAATCTGAGAGGTACAGGGTGTGCAGCATCTTTTCGGAAGTCTTAAAAGAGCAACACTCCAACATGTAAACTTCTGAACCCAAACCACCAAAAATCAACCTGCTGGTGGGATACAACTCAGATGATGAAAAAGAATTTGTTCTTGTCTGCACTGCTTTGGATCATTATCAAGTGGAACCTGTCAGCATGGACACATATCCTCTTGAATGGTAGTTGAAACATGAAGGAACATATGAATATGCATCTTGCAACACCATCTAAACAATGCCATATGAATGCCTGGCCTTTACTTTCAGAGGACGTTGTAAACAAGAAGAAGGCAGCATTATTTCCTGCAAATGTAACCAAACGTATTTGTCTGACCAACTATCTGAACTACAACAAGGCCTAAGTGGATTTGTATGCTCTGAAGTTTTGCACTGTTTTATTCTTGAATACAATTATTTTTTGTACATCATTCTACATTTCTAAGTTCAACTTTCATGATAAAGAGACTGCACCATAGTACTTGTATAACTGAATTAAAAATTTTATTTTTAGTGAAAATATTTATAATAAGATATAAAGTGGCCACTGCAAACTTTGTATTCTGAATTGTAACTGAAATTAATATATTTGAAAATGTGAAAAATAACCCAACATATTTATATAAACAGTATTGTTATTAAGAGCACAATTAATTGCAATTAACTTTAACGGCTTGACGGCTCTAATAGAAATCTTTCTTGGTTTTACTATATATATGCCCATGTATAGTAAAATTGACTAAAATTGCTGCCAGCACTTTCCTTTTGGTTACATACACTATTTTCTACATTCTGAACAAATATAGGTGACATAAGAAATATCATAATCTAAGTGAAAAAAGGTCTACTACTGTGTGAAAAAGTCCCTAGTAGAAGACATGTCAGATAGCAAAGTTATACCTATACCAGGTCTTAGCTAAAAGACATATGATCAAGGAAGGTACTTTCAGAATTTTATTACAGTAGTATTTCTGCAAAGTGGATGCAAGTCTGCTAAGACCACTGATGAATTTTACTTAGACTGCCAAACAGCTGTAAGGTGCTAACTTTCAGTACTACTGGCTTCCAATCAGTGAATATACAGAAATGCTGCCATTACCGTCATCATGAGCCAGACAGTACATTTAGTATATCCTGTTTTAAAGTGGTCAGTAAACTTTTAATAAACAGTTGCCCCCAACTTTTACCAGTGCTGTTTGAGTTTGTGTTATAGATTTTCTCCACTTGAGTCAGCATTGTTTCTAACAAGCCACTTTCGCTTATTTTTCTCCACTCCAGTTCCATCCCACTGCTAATGGTCATTTTGGGTATTTCTCTTTCTGCTGTAGAGCTCTTCTTTCCTTTTAACCTTCTCTCCTGCTCTTCAATCTCCTGCAGATTAAAAGTCTGAAATAAAACCAGATCTTTGATTCTATGTAATGGAATTTAAATACATTTTGATAAGCAATCATATCTTGGCATGAACTTCAATGCAACACATGCAGTCTATTTACCGCTGAAAGCAGAAGTTTCCAACTTTTTGCCATTTGTGGACCCTAAAAATTGCAAATGAAGGAGCAAACCTTTTTGGAAATCTTAGGCATAGTCTGTAGACATCCCCACCAGAAAGCCATGAACCACAGATTGAAAAAAAAAATCACTGATCTAAAATTAATCTTAATTTCCACTAATCTCCATGTAAAAAGCAATATATTTACTCTTAAAACACATGTGCTGGAAAAAATATACTACAGGCAGTCCCCGGGTTACGTACAAGATAGGGACTGTAGGTTTGTTCTTAAGTTGAATTTGTATGTAAGTCGGAACTGGTACATATTGTAGGGGAAACTCTAGCCAAACATTTTTTTTAGTTTTGGATAGCATAGGGAAAGGTTAACTCCCCTCTAATGTTTGTTTTGCTGTCTGTTCCCCTGTTCAGAAGATTTCACATCTATTTCTGTCCCTGTGACAAACTCAGGACTAAAAGAGTAACTCATCAAATACCAAACAGCTCTGCACCATGCTTTGAGCTAATAGCTTTATTTCCACACACCACCCAGGGTTCTAGGAGGAGGGTCCTTTTTTTGCTAACACAATGAGGCCAGCACTTTGTTTGTTTTGGTGGAGTCTTTGTTTGCCCAGGGAGCCCAGCATGTATAGGGGGAGGAGGGGCGGAGAGGCTGCTTTTGTCTGCTGTTCGCCAGCCTGTTGCTCAGGGGAGGGGGCAGCCTGTTGCTGGCAGGGGGGGAGCGGGCGTGGGGAGGCACTTTTCCTCTGCCCGGCAGCTCTGCAGGATCCCTGTCCCTGTGGCCAGCTGCTGCAGGCAGAGGCCAGTTGGAGCCGGCCGAAGAGGAGGAGGAGGTGGATTCTAGGACCCAGGTGAGCGAGCCCCGGGGACGCTGCTGC